CAGCCCCAACACTATTAATCTAGGGCTGCTTAGGCACCACCGACCATCTTCGAAGAGGGAGAACTACCCGGTTTTTCTCCAGTCATCGGCGGTGATTTTTACGCCACGATTCGCCTTGGAAGAACTGCCATATAGCTTGACATACGAACTTACGGAATGTAATGAAATTCCGTGATGAATAAGATCACATCATCTTCAATTAAAATTTTTTTCTGACTGACGTCGCTGTTGTTCTAGAGTCTAAAAGGAATCGGATTGTCGTCTACCCCACACTAGATTCTTTTTCGAGTGCGTAAAGAGAGAGCTGCAAAGTTCAAGAAACAAAGCTCCACACCGTCATCGATTGATCACCGTCTTTGCTTCCCATGCGGGTTTATGGAAACATTCCATTATCGACAACATCTATGAATATTTCAGGCTCGTCGGACAACCTCGTGATAGTGAAGGGGAAGCAGCGAGTCTACGTTAGCCAAAAACACGCAGTCATAACTTACATTCGAATTTACGAAGCGGTAAAGGAAGATCCAAAGGAGAGAAGAGCAACAGTTCTGGCTGAAGAGGATTCGTACGGAACAGATACTGCATCTCGATGGGCGTGAAGAAAGTCATCTACACTTGTGGATCGGATCTCTTCAACAACCACCTCTGCCTGCCTACACGCCATCTTGGGTAAGGCGGACATTTCGCTTCAAAGCTCCCTCTCGAAATTCGAAATGCCATCAGCCGCTGAAGAAACGTAATGCGCTCGATCCCGATAGGATCAAATCAGAACATTTGAAGAGCCTTCCATCGATTAATGTCAAAACATTGGTTAAGCTCTAAGCGCAGTACCTGTCGAGAATCAGAGTGCCCTCAGTCGTAGGAAACTACCAACACTGTGTTGCTGTATAAGAAGAACGAGATTCACACGATATTGACAACTAGCGCCCTGCTCTGCTTGCTGTCTATAATCATTAAACTTTTCACACGAGTCATCTTTAACAGGATCACCAGAATACTAGGAGGAGGGCAGTCACGCGAGCAAGCAAAGTCTCAAAGAGGGTTCAATGCAATCGATCACATCTTGACTGTCACAAGAGTTAATTAAGCATCGCGAGAGTACAGGTTACCTTGAAGCTAGGCGTAAATCGATTAAAAGAAGGCCTTCGATACCGTCTAGACCGTAGCGATAAGTTTCGTCAANTGGTGTTTTTACTTGATATGTAAGGGTCATCGTGAGCTGAAAACTTCACGAGCAGGATTTCGCATTGCACAAGGAAGTCATTGTCAATGTGTATGGAGGGATTTTGCAGGGCACAACCACTTGCCCAAATTTTCCAGCGTCGCTCTCGCGTTAGAGCATCGTGCGTCATTTGGAATGGGGAGACTTGTTAGCAGAACCGTAGCTACTACACGGTCGCACGGATCATCTTTGCTACACACGTGACATCGTGCTTGTAACAGGGAACACTGATCAGGCGGAACTAATTTTGGCCATTTGTGAAAAGAACTCGCTAGAACTGAACATAACTGAATTTATTGGAGACGATGTTCATTAGAGACGGATTGGTTTCTGATGCTCCCTTCACGCTAAACGGAATCAAAATCTCTAAATGCTCTAGTTACGTGTATGTGGCATGATAGATGAGTGGTTAAGAGTATAGGCTCACGTCACTACTCAGAAAGATTTCGAATTTGATCTATGCCGGGGAAACAATTATGCTTAGTCAAAATTACAAAATGGTGTCGGTACCAGCATCAGGCCCAGGTAAGCAGGCCGGCTGACGAAAAAATCCTATCTTAGCAATCATGTACAAAGTCCTAAAATGGATCAGTATTAGAGCTATTAAAAGGGAGGGGAGCACAGGCCCTAGCCCAAGTTGGTGAAGAGTATGTTGGTGAGGGCTAAAAAGAAATGAACGACCTTGGCCAAAGAAGCTTGATCGAACTGGGACTCTGAGCATTGGATAGCGCAGTCGCCAAGATCAGGGTCTAGGAATAGTATGTCAGAGCCGTCAACAGGACCAGTGATAGATAAAAGACTGTAAAGATAGCGAGAGATACCGGAGAACTATATGACGTAAGCGCCACAAGCCGGCTGTCTCCAGCGACCAAGAAGAAGAGAGGGTCTCCGACATGGCTACTGCTCACGACTCAGCGATTCTTTGCAAAAAGGGAGACTCTGAAAGTAACTTCCAGCGATGGACCGAACCAAATGCAAAACGATCATGTACATGTAAAGGTTGTCCCTCAAAACTGTAATTATTATCGGCTCTACCTGGCGAAGATTTGCCCCACAGCATAAGCGCTCTTGAAGGACATATCCATCTAGCTTCTAAAGATTACAAGAATAACAGGTGGTAGACGACGATGTATCTAGTGGTAGACAAGCAGAAAAAGCCCACCACAAGAGAAGGATTCAGGAAGCTGGCCTTCCGGACGCTCAACAACCGGTTAAGCAAATACGGAGCGACAAAGTGCAGGTCATCCTGCAGTGTGCAAATGAAACACTGGCAAAACACGAGGTGGGCTCGAAAGAGATAAAGCAGCGTAATTCTGGAGTAACGGAGTTCAAAGATTCGTAACGCACTAGAAAGAGCGCAACAGGGGTTGACAAAAAACGTGAGCTTCAGAAGGCTCACGTCACCAAGGCTGCTGCAGTAATGGCAAAAACACCTAACTGGACGCCTACGGAAATCTCGACGGTCGAGAAAAAGGTAAGTTCGTTTTCCGACTTGCCAAAGCATGGAACCGGGGCGCTCAAGAAATCAAAGTAGTGGCGGATCCGAAGGACATCTAAAGGAACGACGGTGCAATCCCAAGAGGAGAAAATCAAAAGAATATCTCGAAGGCTCCATGGCGAAGAATTCCAGCGTAAGGGCAAATTCCACGTGGAGAAGACAGCTGGGCCACCGTATTTTGAGTAGAGGCGAGGTTGGGCAATCGGGAGGATGAAGGTTGGCAAAGCAACTCGGCGTACAGGAATTAGGCGGTTAACTCGATGTCTGAACATCATGACCATTGAAGGAGGAGCAGGCGGATGTGGTGGATTGCCCAACTACCGTGGAATCAGGCTAAATGCGCAAAGAAACGGTGCAAGACTCTCAATATCTGGGGGTGACCTGTTTCTTGACGGAAGTGTGGACCAAACTGCAAAGGTTCGGATGTGAGATGAACGAAATGGAGGGGGCGGAGATCTTCACTTAGCAGAATTGAGGATGTTGGGTAGGGTCTGAGGTTGGACCTAAACGGACCGAAACAGAAATCATTGCGTCAGGGCGGTTTGTGTATAATAGGCCATGTACAGCTGAAGATGAGACGGTAGCTCTTGCAGTGGGGCATGTACTGAGAAAGCCGCCCAATAAGAAGGGCGCTGGAGTCCAAAGCTCAAGGGAAGCAGGCACGCGAAGTTCCAAACAAAGTGGCCTGATGTGATCAAGAGATATTTCGTCGATACTAAGCTTAAGGGGCATTCAAGAATATCGAATGAGTACTGAAGTAGGCAACAAACATCCGGCTCCGCGCTCACCTTTCCAACACTTTTCCCGCTTTGACGCACGCCTCGAAGACTCGGACGCTACGAAAGCAGAATGAACATGAAGGCTACGTCATTCAACGCATAGTGGGAAGGGCGATGCTTAAACCTTCACTACAGTTAAAGGAAAGAGGAATCAGTCTTTCAAGCTCCGTCAACGAGCTAAGGTTAGGGATGCCGTTGCTTATGCGGGGCGCCTACTCGAAGGCACAGTTCACGATAATTTTGGGTAATCCAGCTTATGACGAAAAATGGAAGATTAGATGGAAAGTAGTGCGATGATGGCAAAGAAACTGCGTAAATCGGTGTTTCTAAAATGAAAAAACGCTTCGAATAATCGATAAAAAAGGGGCTGGACGAGAATGAAACCAGAAAAATGAAGAAGAGTGGGGCGTTTGGACGAGCTAAACAGTGTGTTTCACTGCGCGCGTGTGGGTTCTGGTGCAAGTTACTGACTACGGTAAACAAAAATTCACACACATATACGCATAAGTAAGCAAAAAGCCTCAGTAACAGCAAAAGTAGCTCACCTTTTTCAGCCTCTAGGAGTAGGAAGTTAAATAAGGGATCGCGGCAGCAAAAAGAAAAACAGAGGATAAAGAATGGGAGAAATACATCGCCTTATCACTTGGCGATTAGCTGATTGTGCGTGGGTCCTAGAACGAATAATAGCAATTTGTATTGTCTCGACACTGGTCTAACGTGACACCGATCGAGGGGCGGGAAGGCCGCGCGAGCCGGGAACAGGGCTTCCACTACGCCATTACAGTCGAGTTTTTGGTCGTGAAAAGGCTTTCTATTTATTTTGGGGGCCATTGAGTATTCCCACGGGAAGACTCAGTAACTATTTTTGTCGTGAATGT